AGACCACCTCACATCTATCAGATTGACTAATGTGGCAGAAAAAGAAAATGACAAATGTTGGAAGAGATGTGGAAAAAATTGGGACACTAATGCACTGTTTGTGGAGTAGTAAACTGACCCAACCACTATGGAGAGCTCAAAGGGCTATAAAATTATACATACCTTTTGACCCAGCAGTACTATTATTAGGTCTGTATCCCAAAGAGATCAAAGGAAAAGGACCTGTATGTACATAAATATTTATAGTATCTCTCTTTTTGAGGTGGTAAAGAATTAGAAATTGAGGGGAATGCCCATCAATTGGAGAATGGCTAAACAAGTTGCGGTATATGACTGTGATGGAAAACTACTGTATTATAAGAGATGTTGAGCAGGATGGTTTCAGAAAAACCTGAGAAGGCTTATATAAAAGTGAAAAAGTGACTTATACAAAGTGAAGTGAGCAGAACAAGAAGAGCATCATATACAGTAATAGCAACATTGTATGATGATCAACTGTGAATGATTTTGCTATTCTTAGCAATACAATGATCCAAGGCAATTCCTGAAGGACTTATGATGAAAAACATTATCCACCTCCAGAGAAAGAAGTGAAGTCTGAGTGCAGATTGAAGCATATTTTTTTCACTTTCTTTATTTTTCTTTTTTTGCAACATGACTATTATGGAAATATGTTTTGCATGATTTCATATGTATAATTGATTTCCTATTTCTTACCTTCTCAGTGGGTGGGGGGAAGGTGAGAGGAAGTGAGAGAATTCAGAACTCAAAATGTGTTTTTTAATAAAAATTTATTTTTAGTTTTTTTCCACTTAATAGTATTTTATTTTTTCCAATTATATGTAAAAATAGTTTTCAACATTAACTTTCATAAGATTTTGAGTTGCAATTTTTTTTTCTCCCTCCTTCCCTGCTGCCCTTCACAAGATAGCAAGCAATCTGATATGGGCTATATATATACAATCATATTAAATACATTTCTACACCAAAATATTTTTAAATTAACATTAAAATAAATAAATAATAAAGTTTTCAAAGTAGGTTGATGGAGTAAGCATAAGAGGAATATTTAATCATGGTTTCATCCTTGCTGGGAAAGGAAAGTGTGTTAAAAATGAGAATAACAATTAAATTAGATTTGGAGAATCTGGACTTGGGCTTTACATTACTGATGTGATTTGGGAAATATCTGTGGGAAGAGCATTAAATTTTCTTTTCCAAGAAAAACAAGTAGATGACACCTAGTGTTGATTTCTTTAAAAGAAATACAAAATAATTTACTGAAGGCAAACACAAATGGAATAATTATAAATCCTAAATATCAATAGACTAAACTAAACTTACCCATGAATTCAAAGAATGGATTATGATTCATCATGACAGAGGAAAGAATGGAGATTTATGGGGACAGCTAGATGGCGCAGTGGATAGAGCACCGGCTCTGAAGTCAGGAGGACCTGAGTTCAAATCCAGCCTCAGATCTGACACTTACTAGCTGTGTGACCCTGGGCAAGTCACTTAACCCCAATCGTCTAAAAAAAAAAAAGAAGAAGAAGAATGGGGATTTATAAGAAAGAGTCTGTGATGGTAGAAAACAACAGGACTTGGCATAGATTAAGTGCAAGTGAGAAGTCCAGGATGGTGCCTAGGTTGTGATCTCAGTGATGCAAAGAGGGGATGGTTTGGGAGTAAAAATAATGAGATCTGTTTTGGACTTGTTAAGTTTAAGATGTTTTAAGGGCAATCAGATTAAGATATCCAATAGGCAGTTGCTGAAGCAAGAGTAAAGATCAAAACAGTTTCATTTTCTCCCATGTGGAAGGAAAAAGTAAACAATTTTTTAGTGTTGGACAGAAGTCTCCAATAGCTTTCAGTAGGAGTATCCTCATCCCCTCCACCCCAAAAACTTTCAGGATTCATTTCAATGCATTTTGTGTATAGAATAGGAAGGATTAAAAGGACACTTAAAAAAAAAGCCACAAGCATTTTGGAGTAAAAATCAATGCCTCGTCTGTACATAGGCCACTGGGATGACCTTCTCTTGTGAACATTGTTTCTTGTAGAAACATATGGAAAAAAATTTTTAGGAGGATTTCTTTGTACTTAAGGGGGGAAAGCCCCAATAAACCCAACAACAGGGGGAAAATAAGTGAGTTTGTAAATACTTTATGAAAAAAGAAACTTAATATAATTTGGACTCATTTTTAGCAAGATGACAGCTTTCCCTCCAAGCCAGCCAGCTGAAGCCCCAGCTACCATCTCTCTCTCAGCTTGTGTCAAGTTTCTTACTGTGTAAATCCTGTATAAAATAACTCGGGTTTGGTTTTGTTTGGGGGTTTGGGTTTTTTTGTTTTGACTTTTTTGGGGTTCTTTTTGTGTGTGCACCCTGATTGATGTGTGTGTGTGCGTATGTGTGTATGAATCCATGTCCAATTACACAAAATTAGCAGCATCAAAATGGAGGAAAAGGCGCAGGTCAGCCATAAGCCTTTCTTTTCTGTTTTGGATTCAGGCCTTGTCTGCCAACTTGAATGTGCAAAAGAGAAAAAAAAAGAATATACATACATATATATGTATACATATACATATACATATACATTTCACAGAAGGAAGACAAGTACAGTGCATGGATAAGGGTCTATTTAAGCAAGTTCTGGATCACAAACCGCCCCCCCCCCCAACTCCCCTAAGAGATAGTTCTCTCCCGAACTTTAGATTGGGACAAACACTAAGGGAGAAAAGGGGGGGAAGGCATAAGGTGGTTTGGATGGGACCCCTCCCCCAAATCTCTTACTCCCCCTTCACCAAGTTGGATTCAAGAATGATAGCAGAAAAGGGCTCCCTCCATCAGAGGAGGGGAGTAGATGGTTTGCAATAACTAAGAAAATGCAGTCATTTTTAGTTTGATTTGATTTGATAAATTTTTTGCTTCGAAGATTTCTGCCTCTAGGTTTTCTTTTTGTTTTTGTTTTTGTTTTTTGGTTTGTTTTCTTCCCCCCTCCCCTTTAAAAAAAAGGCAATTAATTTTTTGGGCCATTTTGTGCACTGAGACTCCACCCTCTGTACATCACCTGTTTTTGAAGAAAAATGTTTCTGTTGTGGGTTCATCTTGCTGTAAATCTGTGTTCATATTTTTGTAAATTCAATACTATGAACCATTGTATTACAGTAACTTTTAGAAAGCAAACCTTAAATATACTGACTTTTCTCACAGAAAAAAAAGAGTAAAGATCAAGAGACAGATTAGAGCTAGATTTGAGAATCATCTGCATGGAGATGATGATTGAATTTAGGGGAAGCTGATCAGATCACCAAGCAGGATATAAAGAATACTGAGATCTAATTGATATCAGTACTGGCTTTTTATCCATTATACCACACAGACTCTTGACTGACTGATAGCTTTAAAAAAGTCATTACCTGGTGACCATATTTCCGATAATAAGCTTCTCCAGGCTTAGCTATATTGTTCCTCAGACAACAGACATATAATTCAATCCCCAGGCCTCTAACCAAATATTTCTCTAAAACCACTCTTCTTGAAAACAGAGATGTGGTACAATTTTTGTCATTGTTGTTCAAACCAGTCACTATGCTACAGAATTTATTTTTAGTATGTTTCTGTGATAAAGCTTAGAGACTCTTATTAATCCTAAAGGAAGTCAAACTGCTTGTAGAATTTAATGATGACTTCACTCATGTGTAAAACATCTATTCAACCCTCTGTCTTTGGGCTACACAGGGATGGAAAGGGGCCATTCCCACCTATGTGACAGAGGAATACAGAATGTCTTCTCCTAAAAGTAAGTCACTGTTATTTCCCATACAATTGCTTTTTTGTTAGGCAATCTGGGCATGTGTGATACTAACATAAAGGGAAATTTATATTATAAAGAAGTAGGAAGACTAAATTACACAAACATTACCAACCACTCAACCTCTCATTGGCTTTCTCTTCATGTCCCACCAGGCTGCACTGGTCATTCCCCAGAAACCTGTTCATCCTCTAAGATCACTTTAGGACAGGAACTCACATGTTAGAAGTACCCTCTACCCTCTAATTGGAGGGTAGAGGGCTCCTCCCAGAATCCTCATTTAAGGAGGGCATCCAAGTCAGCCGTCTTTTAACTTTCCATTGGGCTGCACTCTCCTGGATGTTCATTTCCATTGTGCCCCCATTCCAGGTGCCTTTCCTCCACCTCCACCACAGACTTCCAGCTTCCTTTTATGTGCTATCTCCCATATTAGAATGTAAGACTCTAGAAATAGTGTCAGTCTTTTTGTTTGTTTGCATTTGTCTTTCCAGTGCTTAGCACATGGTAAATCCTTGTTGACTGACAAAAAAAAATAAAGAGTATATGGCAACTGATGAAGAGATAACAAAATGAACCACTTCCTTCTGATCTACACAGAGGTGGGAGAGATGGCTATGTGTGTGGGGTTTTTTGTTTTAGGCAATCAGAGTTAAGTGACTTGCCCAGGGTCACACAGCTAGTAAGTGTCAAGTGTTCACTTGAGTTCGATTTGAGCTCAGATCCTCCTGTCTTCAGGGCCAGCGCTCTATCCACTATGCCACCTAGCTGCTATGGGTGTGGGATATTTGAGATACTGTCAGACAGATGTATTGGTTAGCTTTGCTGATCTGAATTAATTTCTCTCTCACTTTATTATTCTTTGTAACTTGGAATGGCTCTCTAGAATATATTTGGAAATGATAAGAGATAGAATAGGGACTGGGCCTGTGATTTCATTGGCATAGGAAGGTCTAAGACAAGGAAACTCCCTCTTCTAATGTCAGTCTTCACATTTTCTGCATCCTGACTCACCCAGAATCACACAGCATGTATCAGAGTCAGGACTTGAACCCAGATTTCTGAGGCCAGAGTAGAAATGAAGGTGATGTAAAAACAAAAGATACCAAGACATTTTTAGGTAGTAGCTGGTATGTAACCTTTATATCCATTTTATTGAGGAAACAAAATGATTTGACAAAGGGGACAGAACAGTTTCCTAAACAAAACAGAACTCTCAAGACTAAGGCACGCTCTCCTTCCTCTCCCCTAGCTGGGAGGGGAAGAGGAAATGAGCTGCTCCATCTGTCTGCATCTGTCCAGGCCTAGGAAAATGTAGGTTCTTGGTCACAGGCAGGGTCCAATCCACAACCATCTGCAAAAAGAGAGAGGGCAAGTATTTCAGTCAGATGGGGGTAGCCATAGATTCTTCCTTCCCCAACCCCTAAACCATGAAAAGAGCTTCAGCTGTGTGATTCCCTGTGACCCCATTTGGGGTTTACTTGGCAAAGATACTCTAGTGGCTTGCCGTTTCCTTTTCCAGTTCATTTTATACATGAGTAAACTGAGGCAAACAGGATTAAGTGACTTGCTCAGGGTCACACAGCTAGTAAGTGTCTGAAGTTGGATTTGAACTCAGAAAGAGGAGCCTTCCTGACTCTAGGCTTGGCGCTCTATGCATTCTGGCGCCACCTAGCTGCGGAAAGGGGAAAAGAAACCATCAAAGGGCAGACCAGAGGGTGAACGAATCAGGGAAGGAAAAGAACCTTTGGGGGAGCAAGGCCGTCACGGATCCCAGCCCGGGAGGCTGAGCTCCTCGCCCTCTCAAATAGGTGATCAGGGACCCAGGAGTGCCCAGCCTCTCACCGCTGCTGCAGCAGATCCCGCTGGCAGCACAGCGCCCTCCACTCCCGCAGGGTTTCTGGCCAGACTGGCACGGGGAGGGCAGGTAGCTCTCTTCCTGGCACCTCAGGCTCTCGGCCGTGCCCATGTAGCAGCCTAGCTCTTCCCCGCAGCAGATACTGGGTCCGAAGCAGCGCCCTTTGCTTCCTGGACCACAGGGGAGGCACTGAAAGGTGGGGAGAATGACAAGGGTCAGGACTCTGGACAGCGCAGGGTGGATCTCAAGCGGATCAAGCAGACAGCGTCTGAGTCCCATCTCCGACCCCTTAGTTTGGAAGCTGAGCAAACTGGAACCCAGAGGGTGGAAGGGATTCACTCAGTTCATGCAGGGAGGCCGAAGTAGAGCGCCCACAAGAAGCAAGGGCCACGCCCAAGCCCGGGGTTTTCTTCTGCCCTGCCCTGCCCTGCCCTGCCCTACTTTGAGAAGTTGAGCCTGGATAGGGGAACCCGACACCTGTGCGGGGAAAGGGGACTAGGACAGAACTGAGGATCGGAGCAGCCGAGGGAACAGCACGACAAGGACTCAGGCATTAAGGCATCCAGGGCAGCCTTGAGACCCGCGGGTCCTGGAGGTTTGTTTGGAGGTGGCCTGTGGCCCGTTGCATGCCCCAAAGCCGCCTAAGGGGGTGCCCGGGGCCGGGAGAGGGGCCTCCTGTCGGGGTCCCACCCGGGCGGAGCCTCACCTTGCGCACGTCCATGTCCAGAGTCGAGCGCTTGCCGCCGATGGGGCAGTTCTGGATGTAGCAGGCAGAGGCCAGAGCCAAGAGAGCGAGGAGATAGCAGCAGGCGAGACCGGGACGGGGCCGAGGGGCGAGGCCAGGGAGGGAGCCGGGGCTGCCCATGGTGAAGCTGACTGTCTCAGAGGCTGGATTGGTTAGGCTGAGGCCCGGGTGCCCGAGGCTGATCTTCCTTCCCGGGGCTCTGAGCTCCCTGCCCTGCGCTGGGTTTATTTATGCCCCGGAGCCAGAGGCCTAAGGTGGCAGCCGCTTGGAAGCTCACGCCCGGTCAGCGGGAAGTGAGTGCCACCAGTGCCGCCTCATTTAGCCGGGTCGGGCTGGGGCACGGGGTCGGGTTGTCTGGTCAGGGCCGAGCTCGGGGCCAGAACTGGGGCTCTGCCCTCATTAGGGGCAGTTCATTACCCTAAATGAACTTCCAATTAATTCTTGACTCTAAGCTCTGAGCCTGCAGGCCAGCAGCCCTTTTTACTCCCCCACTTCCACACTTCCCTCCAAAAGTCCCCCCTCTTCTCTTGGTCTTTTTCCAGATCGAGAGGAGCTGGTCCCAGGGCCACTTCTTGGATGAAAGGCCTGCCTGTCTTTCTCAGAGCAAGAGACAGCCTGCTCCATCTGTCTCCTCCTAGGAAAGCAGAAGCCAAAGTCCAGAGAGGGAAGGTGCTCCCAGACAGTGGACTCCAGAGACCCAGTCCTTAGCTCCCTCCCCTTTATCAAAGACTGCCTTCCTCAGGAGATGGGGTGTCCAGGGATTGGGAAATTAAGGTCCAGGGGAATTGTGGGCTTGGGCCAGGACTCAGGCCTGACAACAAGAGAAGCACAGACTGGTAGAAAAGTTGGATTCAAGACAGAGAAGGAGCTGTCCCCAAGAGAAGGGTCTCCCAGGGATTTGGATGCAGCTGGACCTGATTCACTCCTAGGAAGACAAGGATCCACTCTCAGTTCTCTCTGAGCCCAGAGGAAAGAATGGAGGTTAATGAAGAAGAGAACCTTTGTATCTTCTTCAGTTCCTAGCACACAATAGGTACTTTAAAGTGGTTGAGTGAATAAATAAATGAACCAGGATGGTGAGATGACTGGAGAATCCTTGAAATAACTGAGGTTGTTTAGCTGGAGAAAAGAAAAGGATATTGACAGAGGGATGAAAGATAAAAGCAAAGGGGAGGTAAACTGAGGGAAGAGGAAGAGGGAGACAAAGACAAAGGATGAATCAAGAGAACAGAACAACAGAGGGATGAAGGGAACAGGGACAGGGCAGACATAGGGAGGGAGGAGAGCACGGAAAAACAAGTGCCGGAGGGGATGAAGTCTTGGAGGACAAAAAGGCAAAGGGGAAGATGACCAGAAGGAACTGAATGAGGACAGAAGGGCAGAGAGGGCAGCAGAACCAAATGACAAAGAAGACAGAGAAATAAATGGGCATAGGAGGTGGAGAATTGGGGGATAGAGGAGGGAGGAGAGAGGACCCAAAGTGATAGAGGACAGGGGGACTAAGGGACAACAGAAAGGGGAATAGAGGGACAAAGGACAATCATTCAGAAGAACATGCACATGACAGGGTGCCTTCAAAGGCCAACAGGAGCATTTCCCTTGAAGCCCTAACTCCATCCATTATATTTTCCTCTCAGTCCCTCTGGACCCTAATTTCTAGTTCCTCTTCATGACTCCAGGTTTGGTTAGAGATCTAATCTAATCTGCCACCTCTACTCAGAATCCAGAATGGGATTGTCTATGCTCCAACTTTCTGCGTCTGGTGAAAGTGAGTTGGGGTGGGAGCTTAGAAGGATCAAGGGATAGAGTCACTGGGTAGGATGTGGAGAAGGAGAGAAAGGAGTGGAAAATTGGATGATTTTGGAAGCAAGCTCCTACCAGAAGAGGTGGGAAGTAATGGGATAATGGAAGGGCCATTCTTAGTGAAGACCATATGTGACCAATGAAGAGGCAAAGAGAATGAATGATGATGCTAAGAAATGGAGGAGGAATAAAAAAAAAGAGGAGAGGAATTGAAGGCACTTTTGAAGAATCACAGAATCTCAGAGCTAGGAGGGACCTCCATGCAATTTAATCCAAGCCAGTCCTTTCATAGCCAATGGCCTAAAAAAAAATTTGTCAACACCCCTTGACTCCTTTTCCTTTCACCTCATTCTTTTCTCAACCTCTTGTTATTTGCTTTTGACCTTAACATTCAGCTGAAACTTCTGCTTCCAAAGTTTCCAAAGATATTTTACCTGCCAAACCACATGGTCTTTTCTCAGTTCTCATCCACTTCTTTCCCTCTGCAGGTGTAGAGGATAGCCAACAACATTATCATTCTCTCCTTTAGGTTTTGGTGACACTGCTCTCTCTTGTTTCTCCTCTTATCTATCTGATTGATCCTTCTCCTTTACTTTATCATCATCAATACTCCAGTCCAGGATTTATCCTGGACCTAATTTTCATCTTTTTCTTTCTTCTTTTGGTGCCACTACAGATTCAATGATCATTCCCTTGAAAATCATTTCTATGCTAGAGCTAGAATAATTATCAGACTGGAGGGGAGGATATGTGCTCTAATGGGAGCTAGGATGCCTGTGTACTTCCCCTATACCTATGTATATGTACATGTGTGTATGTATACACACATATAATTGAGGGGTTAACCTTAGTGATACCCATACATAAATATATTATATACACTATATATAAAGACACATATAAATATATTTGTATATGTATGTGCTCATATACATATATTTATATGTATGCATATATCCTGAAGTTCAGTCTTGCATTACAGACTTGGAAATTTCCACCTGGGAATCCTATAGATATCTCAAACAAGGAATTCCTCAAATAGAACTCAGCTTCCCCCTACCCCCCACTTAACTTTTCTTAACTTTTCTAAACCTTTTGAAGGTACTGCATCCTAACCATGACCCGGGTTAGAAACCTTAGATTCATCCCTGACTCCTCCTGTAGGAGAGACCTACACACACACACACACACACACACACACACACACAGAGCCAATGAGTTGCCAAATTTCGGTTATTATACCCTCACAACGTCTCTTGAATCCCTTTTACTCTCCTCATACCACAACCAGCATACTTCCAGACCTCATCATCTCTCATTGGGACCATTGCAACAGCCTCTTCATTGGTCTTCCTGGCTCCAGTCTTTCTCATTTCTGACCCATCCTCTCCACAACTGACAAAACAGCATTCCTAATGGAGGCTTCTGACTCAGTTGCAGGAACAATGGCTTTTCATTGTTTTCAGCACCAAAGTGCCAACTCTCTTTGTATTTAGGTCCTTCACAACCTATCAGCAACCTACATTTCCAGGCTTAATACATATTAATCCCTTTCACTCACTCTATGGTTCAGCCAGACTGGCTTTCTGTTCCTCACACATGCTATTCCATTTCCCATCTTTGTGGCTTTCTACAAGCTGGCTTCAATGCTTGGAATATACTGTGTTCTCACCTCTGCCCCTTAGAGTCTCAAAATTCAGTTCAAGTATTTCTTTTTACATGAGAACTGGGTGGTTGGGGACCACAGAAGAGAAAGAAAGAGAATAAGCATTTATTGAGTGCCTACTATGTGCAGGCACTGTACTAAGCTCTTTAAAATATTATGTGATTTGACTCTCACAACAATCCTGGGAAGTAGGTGCTATTATTATTATCTCCATTTTTCAGATGAGGAAAAAGGTGAGGAGACTTGCCTAGGGTCACACAGCCAGTAAGTATCTGAGGTTGGCTTTGAACTCAGGGCCAGTTGCTTGAGCTCAGGGATTGTTTCATTTTTATCTTTGCATTCCAGGAGCTGGCACACAGTGGTCCTAGTACCAAAGGATCATGAATTAGAGCTGGAAGGGACCTCAAAGGTCACCTAGCCCAGCCCCTTCATTGTACCAATGAGAACAATGAAGCTCAGGAGGGTTAAGAGACTTTTAGGTGTTTAGAAAATGCTTGTTATTAATTGACTGAACAGAAATACAGCAGAGATTCTGCCCGAAGATCTGCAATGAAGGGAAAGCCTCTTCTTCCACAGAGCTTCCCTGCCACCTCACCCTGCCCCCACATTACAAGACAGAGCCAAAGAGCCCAGCACAACTCAAGACCTTTATTTTCTAAAAACACTTGGAGTGGGGGGGGGGGAGGGAGAGGGTGGCATGCTGGAGAGAGGAACTGTTCCTCAAGGGAATCATCAGTAGATAGTTTCCTCTTTGGGAGGCTGCAGTTCCCCCATGTGCTGACCAGCCCTCTGCACTTGGTGCAGCAGGAAGGCACTGGCTGGCCCATCCAGCTGGGTCCAACTGCTCTTCTCACTGGCCTTTGCCCTCCTCTGGCTGCCAGTCTCGTCCCAGCAGGTTGGTTCCATCATACAGCTCTCTGTGGGAACAGCAAAGGAAAAAACTCAGAACATGGAGTTCTATGAAGTCAGGCCATGCAGTTAAAAAGAGGGTAAATGAAGTAGGCCTAGGAGGCTGCATTATTTTCCTGAATTAGTTCAGGACATCTGAGGTGGGATGGTGGCCAGAAGCAAGAAGACAAAGAAGGTGGCTGGGGGGAAGGGAGGACTCTCTCCTTATCTGTTAGGACAAACTGTCCCAGGGCCAAGCCCTAATAACCCTAATTCCAGTGACCACTCCCAGGGTGGGTGAGTCCCTGGGATTCCATTTAGCCCCACTTCAAAGTGGATTGATTTATCCAAGTATGTTCAGGACTCAAGACACTGTTGCAAGCACCTTTCAGTTGAACATTCCACATTCCACAAACCAATTGAAAGGCTCCATCTGAAAGATGGAGCCCCATGCTGGCCACTGGAGGAAATACCATATTGAGATGACATAAGATCCCTGCTTCAGGAAACTTACAGTTTAGTACTGGTTTTTTGGTTTGTTTGTTTTGTTTTAGGCAATTGGGGTTAAGTGACTTGTCCAGGGTCACACAGCTAGTAAGTGTCAAGTGTTTGGTCTGAGGCTGGATTTGAACTCAGGTCCTCCTGACTTCAGGGCTGGTGCTCTATCCACTGCACCACCTAGCTGCCTGTAGTCTAGTACTGTTGAGGAGAGTCAGGAGGTTAACACAGACCTCCCAGCTCACTCCTGAGCACATATTTCTCCCTCTAGTCTGGTATGTTGTTTTTTGAGATTCAATGCTATATCGTGGAAAGACTTCTGATTTGGGAGTCTGGTAAGACCTGGGTTCAATTCCTGCCATTGACCCTAGCTGTGTGGCCCTGGGGGAGTCAATAAACTTCTTTTGGCTTCTATGTCCTCACCTGCAAGATGGGGTTAGCAAGACCTGTATTACCAACCTCCCAGGGCCATTGTGAGACTCAAATGAGATAGTATATGTAAGTGCTATGAAGATGTCAGTGATTATAATTATCAGCACCCCACATGTGCCTGTGCACACCTCCTCCCACACATTGCCTGCCCTCTTGAGGGCTTTCCTCAAATGTCTGAAATAAAATGACTGCAATACAATGGTCATTTGGATGCACTGCCTAGCAGACAAGGACACCCCATGTCTTCAGGCTTCACTGTCCCTTGACAAAAACTAATAACCAGAACAGGCTTCAGATTTTTGGGGGGTTTTTTTTCGGGGGGTGTCATCTCAGGTGACTTCTGTCCTTGACCACTATCCTTGTTTCCTGAAGGTGGGGAAATCACCTCCTGGGAAACAAGCCTGCATTGTCCTCTCAAATGTACTCAATATAGATACACATGAGTGGCCATCTGATCAATATGTGCAGCAGAGGGAAGTTCTGCCTTAGCCAGTGCCGAACTTCTCTGGCCTCTGGCTCCCTGACTCCATCCTTTTCCCAGTAGGATCTTTGTGTTCTCATCTCTATGGCTCAGTCAGCTTCTGTAGGCCCTTGCCTTCCAGTCTGAATGGCCCTCTGTGTCCTCTGGCTTTGCTTCTGTGGTCCGCACTGAAGGAGCTGTTCTAGAGGTAGTTAAGGTTCCACCTTCCTGAGCTGGACCAGTCTTTGGAAACTCAGTCCAAGCCTCTGTTTCCTTCTTTTCATCAACTGCTCATACTTTAGCTGCTTATCTTCTCTCTGAATAGTCATTAGACTATATACCACATATACAACAGTACGTGATGGTGTCAAAGAGCTCTACCCACTCATTCCAACCTGACCCTCTCTGCTTTCTGATGTACTCTTCCTCTTTCTAGAAGCCTCTGTAGTAGATTATTCACCCACATCACAATATTTTTTTCCTTTCATACTGAATGGTACCCACTAAACTAGTAGACACCCCACCCACCCATCCATCCTGCCCCCCCTCACACACAAAGGGCCATTCTAAATATCTTTAAAAAAAAAACTACATCCCTCTCAATATGATTTCAGAATTGTCCTTCCTCATACTGCACACAATTTTTTTTGCTTTCCCTTGCTATTTTCTTTCATGATTTCCATCAGATTTCACCCCCACCCCTTATTTTTTGTTTTATTTACCATCTTGGGTGCTTGACAATACCATAGGGTTGCAGTTGCACAGTCAATCCAAACTTTTATCTCTCCTATGCTATGAAGTTTTATCCAGTAAAGTGAATAGAAGACTTAGGGGAAAATGATCACAAGGACATGGGTCCTTTTCTGATCACCTGTGGACTGGGAGATCAAAGCCCACACTATCTGGAGAGAAAGAATCTTTTCCCAACATAAGCAAACTTTTCAGCTTGTCCATGGGCAAGCTCTCTCTCCCTACTGAGGTTTCTGATTTTATAACATCAGATTCTTCTCTTCTAGAGGGGGAGGGGGTCAGCTAGGTGGCACAGTGGATAGAGCACTGGCCCTGAAGTTAGGAGGACCTGAGTTCAAATCCAGCCTCACACTCATAACACTCACCAGCTATGTGACTCTGGGCAAGTCACTTAACCCCCAGTGGCCTCACCAAAAAATAAATAAATAGAGGTAGGGGGATCTAGTGATCCATCTTTAGGTACTATTTCCTTCTGTCACTACATGAGAAATTTTGGAATGATCAGGTAATTCACACACACACACACACACACACACACACACAAGAATGCATACATGAAATACAAAAACCCTCTTGCAATTTGTTACTGAACATCTCCTCAAATCTTTTATCCCTCATTTTGATATTTGCATGCTATTTTGAGACCCAGGATCTACCCCTAAGAATCAAATATCTCTTTGTGGTTTACTATACAATGCTTCATGCCATTGTTCTAAAAATGTGGCCTCTGTTTTGATCATCTTTAGTGAAAATTGTATTCAGCAAATCAATAACACAAGAGGAAGCAAGTAAGCATGCAGGACGAGGGAACAAATTATAAAAACAAAAACAATTAAACAGCTACACAAATACAGATAGTGATAACTAAACAGCACACACCATCAATTTTTCACTAGACTTCAGATTTCATTGTCATGGGGAGCTGCCAGTGAGGAACTTCTCCAAGTGCAGATTGGCACCTACAGTGTAACTTAAAGTCTTAGAAAGCTTCCTGGGCCACTGACAAGGTAAATGACTTGTCCAGGGTCACACAGCTCCTATGTATCAGGGGCAAAACTTGGGCCCAAGTCTTTCTGAATCTGAGGTCAGCTCTCTATCCACTATGACATTCTGACCAGTAAATAGCATATGAAGAAAATTAAAATCAATTCATTCAATGCTTCATGCAAGTAAGCAGCAATGTTATCAATTATGAAGCAAGCAGCAACATTTCAAAAATGACTGGAAGAAGCTAAAAAGGAAATAATTTTCTTCTCAAAAAACTAAGGAACTTAAAAAAAAAACCTTCTCGGGATGATCAGAAGACTGGGCTATATATATATTACCAGCATTGCAGCAGATCCCAGCAGCAGCACAGTGTCCTCCATTCCCACAAGGTTTCTGGCCAGACTGGCAGGGAGAGGGCAGGTAGCTCTCTTCCTGGCACCTCAGGCTCTCAGCAGTGCCCATATAGCAGCCTAATTCATCTCCACAGCAGATGCTGGGCCCAAAGCAACGCCCTTGGCTCCTAGGACCACAGGTGAGACACTGCAGGGAGGAGCAAGGTTTAGGGTGAGCAAATATATAATCTTTATCCCCTACAAGAGAGTATCCATTTTCCCCCCACCTTTCATACATGTCACCTTCCCTTTTCCTCAATTCTTCCCATTCTCTCCTCTTCTCTTTTCCCTTACTCTTCCTTTAATGCCCTGCCACATTCCCACTTTCTCTGTCTTCTCCCTTCCTCCTTCTCTCTTCTGCTTCCTTTAATCTTTTCCTCTCCTCTTCCTTTCTACTGTTCTCTCCTTCCTTCTCCCCTTCTACCTTCTTCCTTCTTTCTCCTCCCATCCTCATCCTCCTCGCTTTTCTTTCCCCCAATACTCTTTTCCTCTCCCTGCCTCTCTAATCTTTCTTCTCTTCTTTTTTTCTGTTCTATCCTCCTCTTTCCTATTCCCTTCTTCCTGTTCTCTTCAATTGTCTCCCAGGGACTCTGCCTAACCCATGTAGGACTTGCTCCTTCCTCAAAAGATCTGTCTGCAGGAATTCAAGTTTGGGGTTCTGTGTTTTCCTCTCCCAGTCTACTCACCCAGCTACCTGCATTGTGCTCAGCAAAGCCTGTCTTTCTAGCCTTCCTTTTTCACCTAGGAAGGAGTTGCTCAGTCACCTCTTTTCTGCCCCTGCAGCCCTCTCAGCTCACTGGAAACTGACCCTGGGCTTTCCCACCTTGATGAAATATTGAAAGATGGACTGGACAAGTGAGAGAGAAAGGGAGAGGGGCTGGGAAAGGAGGAAGAGAAACTGTTTAGCTTCCTCTAGTTGCTGGCCAGGGTGCTGAAGCAACCAATCTTCATCTTCTAGATCTAGAGGCACATGGCACAAAGAAACTGGTCCCTCCCTGCAACAATTCTAAATGAGGCACTGAGCACTTGGACAGGAAAGGCTGAGGGAGGAAAGCACATCTTTCATATGCTCAGCAGGTACTACTTTGGTGGTGAAGACAAGACCAGATTTTCTCCAGTTTCTCTGAAAACTGAATAGAAGGGAAGAGGTAAGAAAAGTAGGAGATGGTAAGATATCTAGTAGAGGAGGAGGTGTTAATCACTCTAGCTTGAAAGAGCCCTCAGTTTGCACTCATACCCACACAATGCCAAAAGACTTCAAGGGAAAAGCCCAACATTTTAGGTAAAGCCCTATGAACTATCTTTTGGGATGACATGGACAAGGAGTATAGAGGGGGCTGTGATCTGCATTGTTAGAGTGTGTCCTACAATCAAGGAGATTACAGATCTTTTGAAGGAAGTCTGGAAGGGAACAAAATTAGGCTGAGTTGCTACTCCTTTTACTGGAGAGCTTTAGGACAAAGATTCTCACTCCATTTCTTTCCCCTAATGTGGCTCAGAAAGTAACTTGTGGGCTTAAAATGGATGTTGAAAATCCTATCTTTGGTGAGCTGAAAGGCTTAGCCCATCAGAAATAGAGGGTGACAGAAAAGTCCCTTGCCTCCCTTCTCCCATTGGGGCTGGACTTTACCCACTAAAGAAGTCCCTCTACTTCATCGCCAACAAGAGGACATACAATCTCTGCCTGAATATCTCCAATGTTACCTCTCTGCTTCCTTTTGCCTCTTTCCTTTTCTATCTGTGTGCTTTCCTCTAACCCTCATCCTATGTCCCTCTCTCTACCTCATGCTCCCTTCTCTCCCTTACCCCTCTAATCCTTGCTTCACTGTGCACTCCTGTCTTTTATGAGCCTCTTCACACATCAGACAAACTGCTCTAGGAATACCGGAGGTCCAGTCAAGCCCAGGGTTCTTCTCTGCTCCCAGAGAAGCTAGTGGTTTCTAAGCGAAGTCCCAGCAATGCCATTTCATGCCACTCACAGGCAGTACCCTGACCCAGCCATACCTGTCTCATCTCAGTGTCAGACAGGGAGCGCTTGCCTCCCCTTGGACAGTTCTGAAAGTAGCAGGCAGAGGTGGAAGTGAGAAGGCAGAGGAAGCAGGCCAGCAGCCTGGAGTCTGGCATCTTGGTAGCAGGTCTGGAGGCTGGGCTCTGGCTGTGGTTGCTTTGTTGCACTGAGCTGTCCCTGGTTTTTGGCTTTAGGGCTTTCAGCTGCTTATTTATACCCCAACATTATCCCCTTGGAGACTGCCACGATGAAGCAGCCTCTTTCCTCTCCCTCCCCCTAACCCCTCCTACATCTCCCAAGTGTATCTCCATGAACCCTAAGCAGGAAGAGAATTCTATCCTGGTGATTCAAGGCTCAGGCTCAGAGCCTGCCTGCCTGTGTGTGTGACCTGTGGACATGTGTGCACCTCTGTGCATGTGCTGTGCAGGTGTTCAGATGTTTGCTGATGTCTGAACTTCTGTTGGACTCGGGGCTCTTGATTGACCTTTGAGTGTGTCATTCACTACCTGTAGGAGCAGAATTATAATGTGTATGTCCAGATCTTCTCCCTTTCTCTATGTATGTGCATTTAATTATAATAGTAAGATTTCTGAAATACTTTACAAATATCTTTTTATCTTCACTATCTTGTGAGATAGGTGCTATTAGAATACCCATGAGGAAACTGAGGTAGACTGAAGTTTAGTGACTTGTTCAGGGTCACTCAGTTGGTAAGTGTCTGAAGCAGGAATAGAACTAAGGCTGCCCTGACCCCAGGTCCAACCCTTTCTCTATTGTTTTACCTAGCTGCTCTATACCTGTGAGAATGTCCGTGTTCTTGGGGCTGTCCAGTGATTTCTTTAAATTCTCTGGACTTATTTCCTCCAGATCATTCTCAATGTTGATTCCCCACCCCACACACTCTTTGAGTCACCACCTCCTGGATTAAAAGGAGTCCTAGAAAACAAGGTATTTTCCTGGCCATAGACCCAGGCCCCTGAGGAGAGGGGACTATGGAAGGGCTTTCCAGATGCCTTGGCAAAGTTGGCAGCTATGAACTATGCCTCCTTTCCATCTTCTCCCTTCTTGGGAATGGCCTGGGACTGGAGACCAGGGCTGGGGAGACCTTCAGGAACCACTTCAGAAGCTCAGGTGACAGACATTTAAAAAAGGATCCTGTTAACAGTCAGATGAAGTCTAGGGTCTTCTCAGAACAATGTTTTTACGTGAATAAAATAAAGTACATATGACCACAAGGCAAATCAAATCTACCAAAATATAGTTATCAAAATTTGAAAATAAAAGTCAAGTTCAGGGACTGTAGCATCATTGCTTTAAAGGATACTAGGTGGCCCAGTGAGTAGGGCACCAGGAATGGAGCCAGGAAGACTCCTCTTCCTGAGTTCAAATCTGGGTTCAGTCACTTACTAGCTGTGTGATCCTGGGCAAATCACTTAATCTTTTTTGGATTGCAGGAATCAGAAATGTTATTTTTTTTCCCTTTAGCATGTTTATATTTTTCTGGTTTTTCCCTTCTTCATTACTGACCAGATCAAGAAGTAGAAAAAATAAGTGTGATCAGGGATAACTTAAGAAAGTTTCATTACTGAAAAATCCATGTCTTTTTTCTTTAGAGACTGGGTCTTCCCATCTGCACTAGGCTGCTGTTGCAGCAGCCATGGACAGACCCCATCTCAGCACTGATTCAACCTCAAAGCTTTGACCTTCTTCAATTCTCACCTGGGCCAATTTGCCCTTCCTGGTAGCTATCTACTCCTGGGGGTTCTGTATGTTGGTGCCAGATTTAGTGTGGATTGACTTTAATCCCATTGCAGCTCAGAATTCAGAGCCCATGTGACTCACCAGCCTCAGCCTCCCCTATCAGGCCCGGGCCACATCCACATCCACATGATGTACATTCACCTTAATTCTTTAAATGATCCAATTTAATTAGGAGCTAGGTTTTAGCATGTCCCAAATCCCACACTAAAGGCAACATTTGTGTGGCATTCAATCTATGTAACAGATAAACACAAATTAAATATTAAACTGTCTATGCTGGATTCCATTCTGTCCTTCTATAGAAGGAATAAGAGAAAGTACTGTTATCACTTGTATTGTTTCAGCATTCCTTTTTTGACTGTGACGGTCTCTAAGCAGCAATTTTCAGGTTATTTGAGCAATTCCTATTGCAGAAAGAAATGACTGGTAGAAATGACCCAGCAAAGACTTTTCTTCTGTAGTCTTTTTCTCTCAAGTTGGGAAACTGAGAAGAGAAGGATGGATATTTCTCTTGAAAGTGGAGAATTGTTTCCCTTCTACACTAGTTTACAGTGCTTTGCACAATTCCTGGCATGGAGTAGGTGCTTAATAAATGCTTGTTGACTAAATGACTATATTGTGTCTCCAGGGAGTTGATAGTGGCCTTTTATTTGCAGAGTTTGGCCTGAGTCTGGCCTGGGTAAATTTTTTGCTGCTTCCTGGCTTTTAAGGGTTTATTGATACTGCAGTGATTTCAGAAATAGGTTTTGCTTTTCATCCTATAACAATATTTAGAAGTCCCTGAGACACAGTGTTTTAGGGGCCAGTGTGAAGCTTTGTAACAACATTAGTTTGGATGGATTCTCTGGTCTAGCTACCAGAACTTTCTTTTTTTTTTTTTTTTATAATCTCTAATAGTCTGCTATAATGGTCAAAAGGGCATTCACCAGGTTTTTCCTTGCAAGGCTATTCTCTGGCTTTAGTCAGTTTGAAGAGGACATTGCATGGCCACAGGACTACACTGAGGGGCCATTGTTGTGCATCTCTTGGAGTTTCTGATCAGAGTAAATTGGCCAATTTGCAGAAATTGCAAGAATTGCAGAAGTGCAGAGAAAAGATTGAATGATATTTTGGGGCTGTAAATCTGAAAGCAGTTGATTTATGTCTATCCATGTGGATTTATATGATGTAAATAAAAATCATTCTGTCTCAAAATTCACATGGACTTTCACACAATTTAGGAAAGATTTTTGATTTGGTGAAGATATTAAAGGTGATCAGGTAACATAGACCAAAGTAATACCATGTTCTTGAGTTATTGCCAGAGTGGTACCTGAATTTGGGAGATGAGTACTGAGAGCACTGAGAGCAACTTATGGTCACCAATGGTTCAGTTTGTTTTCTCTTGAAGTGAGACTCCAGACTTACTCTCCCAAATGACATGCATGCTAGAAGGTTGGGCTTCCCAAAGCAAGGCTACATTTCTCCCTCAGGGTTCTTAGGGTATCCTAGACGAGTTGAGGGTTATCTCCTCTAATGCCATCAGCTCAAACCTCCACTCTAGTGAGTTCTCCCCACTCTTTTTTATTAATTTATTTTTAGTTTTCAGTATTCACTTCCACAAGATTTTTGAGTTCCAAATTTTGTCCTCATCGCTCCTTTTCCCCCACCCCAAGACAGTGTGCATTCTGAATACTCCTTCACCCAATCTGTCGTCCCCCTCTCTTATCCCTTTCCCCTTCTATTTTCCTGTAGGGCAGGACAGATTTCTATACCCCTTTGCCTGTATATCTTATTTCCCAATTGCATGTGAAAACAATTTTTAACATTTGTTTTTAGAACTTTGAGTTCCAAATTCTCTCCCTTCCTCCCTCTCCACCCACCCTCATTGAGAATGCAAGCAATTCAATATAGATTATATATGTGTAGCCATACAAAACACTTCCATAATAGTCATGTTGTGAAAGGCTAACTATATGTGCCTCCTCCTATCCCACCTCCCTTTTATTCTGTTCTCTCCTTTGACCCTGTCCCTCCTCAAAAGTGTTTGCTTCTGATTTCCCCCTCCCCCAATCTACCCTCCCTTCTATCATCCTTCCCTCTCTTATCCCCTTCCCCCATATTTTCCTGTAAGGTAAGATAGATTTCCATACTCAATTGAGTGTGTATGTTATTCCCTCCTTAAGCCAAATCCAATGAGAGTAAGATTCATTCATTCCCTCTCACCTCCTCCCTCTTTCCCTCCACTGTAAAAGCTTTTTCTTGCCTCTTTAATGTGAGATAATTTAGCCCATTGTACCTCTCCCTTTCTCCTTCTTTCAGTACAATCCTCTCTCACCCCTTAATTTTATTTTTAGATATCATCCCTTCATACTGAACTCACTCTGTGCCCTCTGTCTATATATATATATATTGCCTCCAACTACCCTAATGATGAGAAAGGTCTCATGAGTTACAAATATCATCTTTCCATGTAGGAATGTAAACAGTTCAACTTTAATAAGTCCTTTATGATTTCTCTTTCCTATTTACCTTCTTTTGAGTCTTGTATTTGAAAGTCAAATTTTCTATTCAGTTCTAGTTTTTTCATCAAGAATGCTTGAAAGCCCTCTATTTCACTGAATATCCATTTTTCCCCCTAAAGGATTATACTTAGTTTTGTTGGGTAGGTGATTCTTGGTTTTAATCCAAGCACCTTTGACCTCTGGAATATCATATTCCAAGCCCTCTGATCCCTTAATGTAGAAGCTGCTAAATCTTGGGTTATCCTGATTGTGTTTCCACAATACTTGAATTGTTTCTTTCTGGCTGCTTGCAATATTTTCTCCTTGACCTGGGAACTCTGGAATTTGACTATAATAGTCCTAGGAGCTTTTTTTTTTTTTTTTTTTTGGAATCTCTTTCAGGAGGAGATAGGTGGATTCTTTCCATTTCTATTTTACCCTCTGGTTCAAGAATACCAGGGAAGTTTTCCTTGACAATTTCTTGAAAGATGATATCTGGGCTCTTTTTTTGATCATGGTTTTCAGGTAGTCTAATAATTTTTAAATTATCTCTCCTGGATCTATTTTCCAGGTCAGTTGTTTTTCCAATGAGATATTTCACATTGCCTTCTATTTTTTCATTCTTTTGGCTTTGTCTTATAAATTCTTGATTTCTCATAGAGTTATTAGCTATCATTAGCTTCCATTTGCTCCATTCTAATTTTTAAGGAATTATTTTCTTTAGTGAGCTTTTGGACCTCCATTTCCATTTGGCCAATTCTGCTTTTTAAGGCTTTTTTCATGATTTTCTTGCATCACTCTCGTTTCTCTTCCCAGTTTTTCCTCTACTTCTCTTACTTTATTTTCAAAATCCTTTTTGAGCTCTTCTATGGCCTGGGGCTGATTCGTATTTTTCTTGGAGGCTTTGGATGTAGGAGCTTTGACTTTGTTGTCTTCTTCTAGTGGTATGTTTTGATTTTATTTATCACCAAGGATTCTATAGTTCAAGTTTTTTCCTCTGTTTGCTCATGTTCCCAGTCAATTACTTGACATTTTAACTCTTTGTTAAGGTAGAGCTCTGCTTCCAGTGTAGAGGGTGTTCTGTCCCAAGCTTTGGGGGTTTTGTGTAGCTGTTTTCAGAAATATTTCTAGGGACCTGTAAATTTTCAGTTCTTCCAAGGTGGTATGATCAAAGGAGCTCTGGTCTATGAGTGACCACAAGCACTGTTTTCTGCCTTGGAACTATGAAGAGGATTCCCTCTCTACCGCCACCACA